CCCCGCCCCCACCCGAGGGCTGGCCTGAAACCGGAGCCCTGGAGCAGCTCCTGGCGGGTTTCCCTTTAGGGCTGAGAGCTCCGGGTGTTGTTCTAATTTATGGGGCCACCTGACCTGGCCTGTATTGCTCCCTGCCCCCTGCCCCCCTGTCATGCTCCCAGGAGCAAGTGTAGTTCAGGCCAAGCTCGGCCCCATGCCCTTGACCTTCTACGGGCTGTCCCGGCTCTGCCCATCCTCTGGGGCTGGGGGTGCCGGCAGCCATTCACTGTGCATCACCGACAGGTGTGCTTGTTCATTCAGCCTTTCAATCACTCACTCAACCTCGGCTCCCGTGTTGACCCAAGTCTGGAGGTGCCCCAGGACACAGCAGGCAGAAGCATGGACGTTCACCCCACAAATGCCAGTCCCAGGAAGGGGGCCCAGCTGGAGGCCCTGGGGCCTGGACTCCGCTCCAGTCAAGAGTCCCACTTAGCAGCTGTGTCACCCTGGACAAACGCTCCTGGCCTCAGTTTCCCCATGTGTAAACCAAACCCAACTCTCTGCTGCGGAGTTGATTCCAACTCACAGCGACCCGAGAGGACAGAGGAGAGCTGTCCACCCCCCCCACCCCCCGTGGGTTTCTCAGATGATCCTTCTCTAGGGGAAAGACAGCCTCATCTTTTCCCCTTGGAGCAGCTGATGAGTTTGAACCACTGACCTTACTGTTGGCAACCCAGTGCTTAAGCCACAGCACCACCAGGGCCCCTTCCATCTGTGAAAGGAGGGAAATAGCAACCTAATTGATGGGCTGGTTGTGAGCTCTAAACCCAAGAAGAAACAAAGACATGGGGGATGAACAGGCAAAGGGCTGAGAAGACTGCCAGGTATGGAGGAAGTGCTCAGTCCATGCTCCCTTGCAATCTTCTGTAGGGGACCCTGGTGGCACCGAGAGTGGGGCGTTGGGTGACTAACCACAGGGTCGGCGGTTCAAACCCACTAGCCACTCTGAGGGCGAAAGGTGAGGCTATCGGCTCCTATGATGAATTCCAGACTCGGGAACCAAAACTGGGATACCATGAGGGATGGGCTCAGTGGCAATGGGTTTAATGTTCCGTAAGTCAGATCTGCAAAGGAAAGGGGAGGTGGACAGTGTCTGCAGTTTGGGCCGGCGGGGACATCACAAGATGGGATGTCAAAGAAGGCTGCTCAGAGGAGGTGCTGTCTGTGCTGAGACTTGGCTCCGGAGGGACTGGGAGCGTGGGTGTTGGGGAAACCTTGCTTCAGGTGGAGTAGGCAGTCCTGAGGTGGAGTGAGCTAACAGGATTTGCAAATACAGAATGACTGCCTGTGGGGGACCAGAGAGGTAGGTTAGCCAGGTGAGGCCTGCTCCACTATGGGGAGGGGTAGCCATGGCACCCTATGCCCCCAGCACTTCACACTGGGCCTCAACCTCTCCCCAAACTTTAAGTAATCCCCAACCTCCTTCCAACCAAGGGCCAGAGAGAGGACGGCTGGGAGAGTCAGGAGTAGGGAAAAACAGAGGTGCCCTGGGTTTTTCTCCAGGGCCGGAACCTCATCTATGCTGAGTTCTCCGGTCCCCAGCACCGTGTGGTACCACCCTGGTGCCCTCTTCCTATCTCTGCCAGGGAATGATAGCCAAGACAACAGGGGCAACAGGGGACCGCTATGTCCCCTTGGAGGCCTGACTCCTCTGGGACTCAGAAGTAGGGGCCAGGATACCACTCCCAAGTTAGCGGCCCAGGTGTGGAGGTCCTAGGGGCATCACTTGGGGTCTTGAGAGGGTCTAGCCTGAGACAGACCCCAGTGGGAGGTGGATGCAGATCAAGGGCTGAGTCAGTGGGCAGAAGTTTCTGGGAGCAATGGGCTTGTAGCCCAGTTGGAGGGGGGTGGGGTGACACAGGCCAAAAGGGTCATCATCTAGTTCAACCTGCTCATTTTAGGGTCACACAGGACAGAGTGCTGGACTTGAGTCCTGTGTGACATGGGGTCAATGGTCTCAGCCTTACTTTCCTCATCTGCCGAATGGGGTCGTTCCCGGCACCACCTCTGAGGTCTGGGGTGAAGTGAGATGATGCGCTTGGCTCACCCGCGTCCTTAGCACCGACAGCAGCGGGTGCTACTCGTGATATGAGCAGTGACAGAGGCAGCCCCAGATCAGCGGGCTCCCAAAGTATCTTGCTCCCACTTGACCAGTGCTTCTCAACTAGGGGTGGCTTTGTGCTTCTCTCCAAAAGGGGACATGTAGCGACGCCTGGAGGCATTTTTGGTTGTCACAGCTCAGGGGGTAGTAGTAGCATGCAGAGGTCCCCAAACTTATTCGACCTATTGCCGCCTTTTCAGAAAAAAGAAAAATATCACACAGCACCCTCTCAGCAATGAGCAACTTGTACTGCAGCCAATAATCCAGGATAAAGGTAGGTATCAGCTTTCACAGCCCCCCCCCCACTGGCCCCAATCATTCCCCCAGGGGCTGGGATCACCCACCCTGGAAAACACCAAGAGGGCAGAGGACAGGGGTGCTGCTTAGCACCCAGCAATGCCCAGGGTGGGCCCCCTGCTGACAAAGAACCTGGCCCCAAAGTCCCTTGTCCTAAGGCAGCTCCGTTTGAATGCAGCTCTGCTGTCTAGCCAGAGGCCACCAGCACCAGGTGCCCGCTGAGCCCTCGACCTATGGCCAGCCCCGCTGCCCAGTGGTGCAAGCAGAACACATACCCTGGTTTCAAAGACTTGGTAGGACAAGGAGAATGGACACAGCCTCAGTGGTCATTTTTATACTGGTCCCCGTAAAGCGAGGGCGGCTGGGTAAACAGACAGACCTCTCGGGGAGCTTTGCAGGCTCATGCAGACCGCCAGAACCAAGTGAATATCGAGGGAGCAGTGAGCCACAAGGAACTTGGGGGTTTCCCAGTGCGTGTGAAAGTGAACACACCCAGGGAGTCCAGTAAGTGTGCATGACGAAAGAGTTAGAAATAGATGAGAATGACCGAAATGTGATACAGAGTCAGGAAGGGAGCACCCGCTATTGGAGACGCTGGCACCGATCGTCTTGCTGTATGCAGGGCCACGCAGCCTTCAATTTGTAAAACACCTTGCAGAGATGCACAATACGACAGGTATGCCCGGAGTGGGTTAAGGAAACTCTATCATTCAAATAAATCCCACCTGCTCACATTTCTAAAAACGTTGGCTACTTGCAAAAATCCCCACAAAAACCCAAAATGTGGCTATGTAAAATGACAGACGTAGCTATTTGTGGCTCCCATCTGAGCACTCGAGGGTAATGCGGGCCCATGCTGCAATGCCTGTGTCAGAGGTGGGGGTGGGGGTGACTGGTATCTTGGGAAAGGACAAAAGGAGCCACCACTTCTCGGTCACCTGCCCATCCCTCTCTACTTCCCTGCCCCCACCTGGCTGGGCCCTCTGTGCCAGGACAGAGGGAGGGCAGGGGCCTGAATGTGACTCTCCCTGACATCGGATGGAGGGCCTGGCCCGGTGCCAGGTTTGCAACTGCACCGAAAGCGCCCCAGTGAACAAACAGGAGGCTATGGCGACAGCTGAGGCTTACAGACCTCAGCGCTCTGGCTCCCGGCCCACCCCCCAGCAGTTCCCAGTCCAGAGCTGGGGGGTAGGGGGGTGGGAAGGAGTGGGGTGGGATGCTCCCCTGGGCCACACTCTCGAGCTCTACATGAGGGGGGGCTGAGGCCCAGGCTGAGGCCAAAGGTGGGTGAGTGGAGAGGGTCTCAGGTCCCGGGGGTCCAGCTGGGTCAGTAGGGGGGTGATGGGGTCCTTGCTTTCTAGGAGGGTGGGCTGTGGGAGAGGTACTTGGGTGGGGCTTGATGGTCTCAGCATGGCCAGTGTCTGTGGTAGAGGTTGGAGGAAGGAGCCTGGCTGGGCAGGGTTCAGGGCCCTAGAAGGTGGCAGACAGAACGATGGGGCTGGGAGAGGGCACATGGGGAAGACAAAGGGCTGGGGGTTGGCATTTTGGCTTCTACATGTGAGTTCAGCTCCAGGCACAGAGAGGTCTGCGACCCACCCAGGACTGTGAGTCTATACATCTGCCTGAGTCCTGCATGCCCTCTCCCTTCAACTTGGTTGGCCCAGGTAATTCATCCACACCGCTCGCCTCCCACCACAGGGAGACGGGCAGGGGACTAGGCTGAGTCCTGGGGGCTGTGGGGAATGGTGGGGTCCCTGATTTCAATCTCTCCACGCCCCTCCAGCTCTCTCAGAAGTCTTGTAACCACCACTCCACCTCTCACCAAAGTCTCAGGACAGAGAGAGGAGGGGAGGGACCAAAATATTGAACTGGGGGGGCTCTTTGCTTTTCTGAGAAGGAATCCGGTCAGCACCTGGAGTCCCAGGCCTTGGCTGGGTGGAACGAGGCCCCTCTCTGAGCCCAGGGTTAAGTCGGGGAAGACATTTGGGGACAAGGTGTGCAGGGCCAGTGTCTGGGCCCCACCAGCAGCCCCACCAGCGTGACACCAGAGCCTGATCAAGCTCTGGGGTCAGACACCACCCCTGGACAGCTCCCCAAGCGCCCTGCCTAGTCCCCAGCAAGGAGGGGCTGGCCCGTGGGCAGGAAGCCTGGGCTGGGTGGTGGTGAGTGAGGAAGGGGGGGTCTGAGGGGGAGGAAGGAGGGGTGTGTCCAGAGGAGGGTGGGGAAGTGAAAGGGAGAGGGTGTTGGGAGAAGCTTAGGGCGCCCTGGGAGGGAGTATAGAGGTGGGAAGAGTGGGTGAAGGGGAGGGGCACTGGGGGAAGGGTGCTGACAGAGCCAGGGGCTGAGGCTGTTGGCGGGAGTCTGGGTGAGTGGTCTCAGGATTCCCAAGGGCTGGCCCAGCACGGGGGGCCTTCAGGGCTTCTGAGTGGCGTTCTTAGGATTTCAGGGCGCGGGGGCCTTGAGAAGAAGAGTCGCTTGGGCTGGAGGAGGACTTGCTCAGGTCCCTAGCGCCGGGGAGGCGACCCAGGCGCGGGCGCTCCGGGCATGCTCTCGGCCGGCTTACCTGTAGACATCGGTCCAGAGGTGGGTGCCCAGCACGTACACCGCTTCCACGCGGCTGCCGTATTGCAGCCGCACGGTCCGCTCGCGCAGCATCTCCGCCGCAAGCCCGGACTCTCTACGCTCCGCTGGCCGCCCCTGCCGAGCCACCTGCCGCAGGTGCACCTGCTCCCGCCGCCAGCGCCCTCCGCAGCCCGGCGCTCCGCTTTATGGAGCCACCGAAGGGGCGGGGCCACCCACCGCACTCCTCTCCCATTGGTCACGGGCCTGCCCATCAACCGCTTCCACGCGGCTGCCGTATTGCAGCCGCACGGTCCGCTCGCGCAGCATCTCCGCCGCAAGCCCGGCCTCTCTACGCTCCGCTGGCCGCCCCTGCCGAGCCACCTGCCGCAGGTGCACCTGCTCCCGCCGCCAGCGCCCTCCGCAGCCCTGCGCTCCGCTTTATGGAGCCACCGAAGGGGCGGGGCCACCCACCGCACTCCTCTCCCATTGGTCACGGGCCTGCCCATCAAATGTGGCCACGCCCTCCCAACACGTCTCGGTCTCCCCACCCCCCAACCTCGGGGTCTGAGGGAGATCCCTGCTGCCAGGTCCCCCCATTTGGTATTGGCTTGCGCATCCACTCATGCATCCACCCGTCCGTCCACGCGCTCAGCCAGTCTTCACCACGGCCCGATGCTGGGCTCCAGGACACGGCCCGTGCCAGCCCGCCGTCCTGGTCGCCAGGGGCGGACAGCGAAAGCGTGGCGCCGCCCAAGGGCGGGGGTGGGAGTTGGTGGAGCTCAGAGCGCTGACCTAATCCAGCCCGGGCCTCTGGGAAGGCTTCCCGGAGGAGGAGGAGCCCAATCCTAGGGGAGGTGTTTGCCAAATCTCTCTCTCTCCCCGTCTCCCTTTTGCGCATTCTCCCAGACACCTACAGTCAGAGGTACCAGCAGAGGGAAAATGAGGGGGGCGGGGAGGGGAGGAGGTGGAGGTGGAGAAGCCAGATGCCCACGGGATGCCAAGCCAAGGCATCGTTGGGAAACTGGGCAGGGCGCCCTCAGGTGGAGCGCTGTGGTAGGGGGTGGAAGTGAAATGGGTGGGTGGGTGGCCAGCGGAGGTGGACCTAGAGGGAAGGCTGAGTGGATGAGAGATCGTAAAGACCCTCAGGCAGGCAGTGTCAGAGGGGTGCAGCTGTGGGGCTCATCTGACCCTTATCGATGGGACCCTGAGATACTGGGGCCACTTGGTGGGCGGCAGCTTGTGGGAGGAGAGGGCCCATGAGTGGGCAGGACCGAGGGACCCAGACTGGTCTGGGCAACCACCGCAGAGGCCAGTCTGTGTCCTGCGGAGGCCAAAGTGCAGGATGACGTCAGTGGAGCTGGTTCAGGCTACCCCTTTCCAGCCCCTTCCCCTTGAAGCAGACTAATTTAGACAGCACGTGTCTGAGTGTGTGTCAGGAGGTGGGAGGGCGGCCAAGTGGGCAAGGCAGTGAATGGGAAGGGGTGAGGTGGAGAGGGATGTGTGGGAAAGGGATAGGGCCCATGGGTGTGTGCGTTAGCTGGGAACATGGTGTGCACCTGAGCTAGAGGACCAATGCTCAGAAGGGCCTGGGTCCCTTGGTCCTGTAGCTTCCTACAAAAACCCCAAACGCACTGCCATGAAGTCGATGCCGACTGAGCCACCCTGTACCAGGGACTGCCTCGATGAGCAGGCAGTGGCCAGGGGGCACGGGCCTCCCCAAGCATGGGGCGGGTGCATCTTCCAATCAGAAGGCAGCGCAGCTATGGGAGCCGCCAAAGAGGGAGAAACACCTGTGCGCCCTTGGTCTAAGTGCAAAGTTAGTGTGGGGTGTGTGGGCCCCACTCTACCCCTGCTATGTAGGCACCCACCAGGGTCCTGCCTCGTTTCACGGTGGGAAAACTGGGGATAGCTTGGTCATCTGAGGAGCAGAGGAGATGATCACGTCTACCACAAAGTGATGGTTCTTCGATGGGCTGAGATCTGCATGGTCAGCACTTTGGAACCCCCAGATGCTCCTGGGGAGACAGACGGGGCTTTTTACTCCTGTAAAGGGTTTCATTCTCAGAAACCCCCACGGGGGGCGCTATGCATTGGGATCGACCCCATGGCAGTGAGCTGGTGCTTGGTGTTTGCCACCAAATGATAGAGAAAAGTAAGGACAGTGGACTCCTTTCAAGTTGTGCATCCTGTGCCCCAGGTGTGGTTCCACTGTGTCACTTGTCACACCTTAGAATTAGGTCATGCTCCCCTTCCCACCACCCTGACACTTTATAGAAGGAGACAGTGAGCCTCAGGGAGGTCAAAGAATTTACCCTCTGTGGTAGAGCTTCTCCTAGCCGTCAGCCAGGGCTGGAACCTGGGGGGCAGGGACACTGTGGGGTGAGGACAGACAAGAATGTTGGCAGTGAGCTGCCCCGCCTGGCCTTCATACAGCCTGGATACCCTACCCTCACCCCACCCCACCACCTCCTGGGCTTTCTTCTTCAAACAGAATGACTGATCTCACAACCCAGACGGGGCAGGCTATCTATCGAGAGACACATGGGAAACACAGTACAGGGGTGTTACTTGAGGAGTGTTCCAAACTCAGACCCCTCCCCGGAGAGGATCTAGTGCAAGGTGGCTTATACTCAGGGACCCTGTGCCTGGCCTGGGGCCCCAGGGTTGGACCACTGGGCCTGGTTGATGTGATGGGACCTTCCTGGTGCCCAAGGGTTTAAAATAGCTGAAGTGGTCACAGCTGTTGGGGGATTCAGGCCCGGAGGTCTCCTGCCTAAGGCTGCTCCCACCACTCCCTGGGGTCCGGAAGAGCCCCGAGGCATCTTGCTGGGCCTTTGCGGGCATGCCAGTGAAGAGCAGGCTTAGCCTGGACCCGCTCTGGCACTGGCCCATGTCCCCCTCACACCCTTGCCTCTGCCAAGTGTGTGGCTGGGTGCCTGGGCCGTGAGGGGCTCTTTGGAGTCACCCTGCCATTCTCTGTTACTGGGGATTTGCTCTGTGCAGGGCTTTGGGCGCCAAGGAGGAGACTCAGGCACAGGGCCAGCCTGCCTCAAAGCCCCCTGAGAGGACATCCTGGGCAAGAACAGATCGAGGATGGGGTGCGGGGGTGGTGGTGCGGGGTGGGGGTGGGGGGAGGAATCACCTAAGTCCTACTTGATCATGGTGGAAATACCAGAAAAGCAAAATCAGACGGCACAATGGGAGGAACTGAATCATCCTGTTTCCAGGAGGCAGAGCGGACTGCTCCTAACCTTACGGGCGAAATCATGTTGTTGTTGTTGGAAACTGCAGAACAGAGACCACGCAACACCTGCCCCACGTACTGTGCCACAGTGACATGGCTCCCGTCTTTCAGGTACACGCCTTCTCACCGCCTCTTCCCTAATTGTTCCCCCCCACCCACGTACATGCTCAGCCTTCGGTTCTCTCTGACCTTGGTAGTGGCTTTTGATCCCATGTGGGCTGTCCTGTAAAAGAGCCCCGTGCCCCCAGCAGACACCCGCCATAAAGCTTTTGAGGGTGACCATGCAGCTGCTGCTTTTTCAGCTGACCAGACTCCCGGTCACGAAACCCGACGCCGTGCCAGGACCCTTTATAAGGGCTTCACACGTCTTAGCTCATGTAATCCTCGTAATCACCCAATGAGGTGGGAGCTATTATTATCCCGAAGCCACCCAAAGGCACTGCCCAGCCTGGTGGTGGCCAGACCTGGGGTCACGTCCAGCTCTGCCCCTCACTACCGGGGGGACCTTGAGAAACGGATGGCTCCCCTGGCTGTCAGCCCCTTCCTCTGGAAGGGAGACGACAGCAGCACCCACCTCAGAGGGTGCTGAGGAGCGAATGAGAGGAGACACACAGGCTGCGCACATTGGCCGGCACAGACTCAGGCCCTTTGAAAGGTCGTTGCTTTTCACCAATTGCTGTCAAGAGGACCTTGACCAATGGTGACTTGGTGGATGCCCGAGCAGAACTGTGCTCCCCGGGGCTGGGAGTGGCCGAGTGTTCAGAAGTAGATCATCAGGCCTTCCTTTCTATGCATGCTGTTACCTGTGTATATGAAGGCCCACCTGTTTACCTGTGTGTTGTTTGCTTCCTGGTCTGTGACTCTATCCGCATGTGCTACTATCCATGGATCACTTTTGTTTTGTTTCATACATTTATTTATTTTTAATCATTTTATTAGGGACTCATACAACTGTTTTCACAATCGTACATACCTCATTTATGTCCTGCACATTCGTACAGATGTTACCATCATCATTCTCAAAACACCTGCTTTCTACTTGAGTCCTTGGTATCAGCTCCTCTTTTTTGTTTTTTGTTTTATACATTTATTTTTTACTGACCAATTTATCTTTTTTTTTGTTTTTCCCCCAGAAATGAGCTGCGATGTGTTCATTTATAGCAGGGAGGCAAAAACCAGAGTGAAACACAAACCTCCGTACCCTTCCGGTGACTTGCTGAGTCATGACGTGTGAGCTGCCTGAGGCAGGAATACAAATTCGGGGGACACTTGTTCTGCACAGCGCCAAGGCCCCTCTGCTGCAGACAGCGGCGGCGTGGCCACCAGTCGCCACAGAGGCACAAGTCCCCCTCTCATGCTAAGTCTGAACTAAGCAATTTGTAAACTTTGATGCTGTTTTTTTGGAGAGTCCACAAAACTTTGGAAGAGAAAGCAATAAATTACTTTTTCCAAATGGCTTGATGTGCCTTGTTTCCTGATGCCCTGAAGTCGAGTCGAAGACAAGCCAGGCAGGGGACCGCAGCTGCTTTTATTTGGAACAAACACACATTCAATCAGATATTCCCGAAAGTCAGACTGTCTGCCCTGAGAGAGAAAACCAGAGGGAATCGACTGGCTTCATGTCTCCCTGGTTCATGTGACCACCACTGGTCCTGTGCTGTAAGGGTCGGCCCTGAGTGCACACCATCAAAGTCCGTTTCTTTTTCCTTGAACAAGCGTGGCCTCGGACAGTATTTGTCTTCATGGGGTCGCCTACTTTCCAGCAGCGTATCTTCCCCATTCGCCCATGTCAAGAGGGGTGTGCCAGGTTTATCACTGGTCTTTAGGGATTGTAAATGTGCCCCAAAGTTTACTTACCCATTTC